ATAGAAGTTGTTCCAACACCAAATTCTAGAGGGGAGAATTACATGCAACAATCAGATCTTGGGAGTTAAAGGGTTAAATGTTTCGTTCATTCTAGGAGTCATCTTCTTGCTATGAAGCCTCTGCAGTGCAGAGTTACCCAGATGACCAAACCAGATCATCCTCCAACCTGTTGAGAGTCACCATACTTAGCGATGAATGGGGTTCATCAAAAGGGGGTCTCTCTACAATCAATAAAGAGCTGGCAATACAATTAGCCAAACATCCCAACTTGGACATCAGTGTGTATCTTCCCCAGTGCAGTGCGAAGGACAAGAGTGATGCAAGTGGTCATAATGTTCACCTGATGGAAGCAGAAGAAATTCCAGGATATGATCCAATTGATTGGCTGTCTGTTATACCAGAAAATCATGCCATTGATATTATCATAGGTCATGGAGTACGTCTTGGTAGACAAATATCTATCATAAAGAAACAGCATGCCTGTGGTTGGATACAAACTGTCCACACAGCCCCAGAAGAGCTTGGCAAGTATAAGACCTATGCCAATGCAATCTCAAAAGGTGGGAAGAAGCATCAAGTGGAAGTAAAACTTTGCGAGAGGGCTGATCAAGTTCTTGCAGTTGGGCCCAAGTTGGCAGAAGCCTACAGGCGTTACTTGCGTTCCAGCCAGAAAGATCAAGCTACTCTGGATCTCACACCTAGTATTTTCTCTCAATTCTCCCATGTCAAACAAGCCAGTAAAGGTGGGAATACATTTGGTGTTCTAGTGTTTGGACGTGGAGACAGTGAAGATTTTCATCTGAAAGGCTATGACATAGCAGTTCAAGCAGTTACAAGGTTGAAGGAATCGTCATACCATCTCATGTTTGTTGGTGCTCCTGCTGGAAAAGAAGATGAAGTTACAAAAGAATTAGAGAAATATAGAATTTCCCGCCAGCAACTAACTGTTCGGTGCTTTGATGAAAGTAGAGAATTCCTTGCCAATTTATTTTGTGAGATGGATTTGGTGCTAATGCCTTCAAGAACCGAGGGATTTGGATTGACAGCCCTAGAAGCCATGTCTGGTGGCTTGCCAATACTTGTAAGTGGTAACTCTGGATTTGGGGAAGCGCTCAAGCAAGTGCCATTTGGCAACCAATTTGTCGTGGATTCAGATGATCCTGATAGGTGGGCAGAGGCGATTAAGGCTGTTCGAAAGAAAGATAGGAACTTAAGATTGGAAGAGGCCAAACACCTTCAAAAAATGTATGCCAGCAAATTCACCTGGAAGGAACAGTGTGATTCACTTTATGAAGCAATGTGCACTATCATGTCAAGTAAGATTTATGTTTTTCCCCTTTAACTTTGTTCTTGTCTAGTTGCACATTTCCTAATTTCAGGGTGTGGAAACTTGATTTTGGGGCTCTCATCTTCTGTCAGTAATATCAAGATATTACTGGTCAAAATATATTTCCAACCACCAATTCCCATTTGTAGGGTAGAACAGGTACAGTACAAGTTTGCTTACATCTTCATCATATAATGCATCAATCAATTTGAAGCTTTAACTTCACCTGGGCATTTGAACTTTTGAAGAATGGTCCATTCAAATGCCCCACCCAAATTCCAAATTGGATCTTTCATGCACAGGTGAACATTTTACATGTACCATTAAATACCTCCTTATCAAAAGATGAAATAATTCTATTAAGTTTGCCAAACTGGTCTGGTGTAAGGAAGAAGGCAAGTGCTAATTTTAAACTCGGGTTTTTAAGTGCAAGTACTGTTGGTAAATGTAGGTTTTGTTAATTTAATGTTTAGTGAAATATTTTTCTGTGTCTGTTCTTCATTGATTCCTTTCTAACCTTTTTTGATTGCTCTCTAATATTAATAGTATACATTTTTTTGGCAGGATCCACAGCTGATTTAGATTCTACCACAATCCCAAGAAGTCAGTTAACCTTGGTAAACCCTAATCAGGCTGATCAGGGTGCTAGACATTTGGCTCACAATCCTGAAGGTATGCACTTTGTAAAATGTATCAACTGTTGCTATGATGCATAGTTCTTCAACCAGAACTAACTTACAATTTAATTGGCCACTTCCAAGTTCTCACATTTCAGTGATCTGGTACTGAAATTAGGGCACGTGTACAAGGCTAAGGGCAAAGTTGCCTTCATCGGTTTAACGAATAAAGTGCTGTGGTGGCAAAAACAACCAAAAATTTTTTTGAAAATTAAATGTGAGAGAGTGAAAAATTATTTGAGAGACATAAGTGAAGTGATGGCAGCAAAGGAAGAACAAAATACAGAACTGTTTGATTTATGCAAGAAAGCTGCAGCATTGAAGCAGATCAAAATTGCCTCTTCTGCTAAGGACCCCAAAAAAACCATTGGAGGAGAAATTAAAAACAAGTGAGAGCAAATTTCCAGTACCAAATATTTTAATGCTTGGACGTACCTCTTTTCTAACATTCCAGAGTTTTCACTCCGCATCCACATGCTGCCTTGACTCACTTGTTTTGCTAATTTAAGTAAGCTTTTGCTTCAAATCAGAAAGGAAAAAAATAATGATTTTAATAATTAAAAAAAAAAAACAACATAGAAGAAACTGAGGCCAGGCTACATGCAAACACTGAACTCTGTAGAAATACAGAAGTTGTGTATCCAAGCATCCAAAATTTAAGGCACTAGAAATTTGCCCTAACTTGTTTGTAATTTCTCCTCCAACAGTTTTAGTGGTCTTTAGCAGAGGCATTTAGTTGGATCTACTTCATTGCTGCAGCTTTCTTGCAGTTCTGCATTTTTTCTTTCCTTTGCTGCCATCACTTAGCTGAATGCCTCTCTCCCACAAATAATTTTTCACCCTCCCACACCAAATTTTATGAAATTTTCTCTCATGTTCACCACCACAGCACTTCATTCTTTAAACTAATGAGAATGACTTGGCACTGAATCTTGTCCTCATGCTGTAATTTCAGTACCAGATCACTGAACCTCAAGAACTTGGAAGTGACCTGTCATAATAATTACTTACTTGTTAACCTACCTGAGGAGGTAATAAAAAGCCATTAGCACCAATGTATTAGATGCTGTCCCATATTTTCCCCATATATCTTCTCAAAAGTAAAAAATATATTTGAACTGATAAAATGTAGAGATTTCATTGAGTAAACTATTGAGTATGTCCATATTTAGGAAAGTAATTTATCTGTTGGTCAGTACATCAGATCATGATCAGTCTGGAGAAATAATAATTGGTCACTGAGGCACATAAACCATAGTTGTTCGGTCATAAGGTGCACCATTTTTACAAGAATCTGAGTCTTTTCTCTCATGGAAAAAATAGATGCCAAACTTGGGGTGTGTCTTGTATCTGAGTATTTTGGTGAAACTGGTTTTGAAAAGTTCAGATTTTCCCACTCCTATTTATTGTTAGTAATAACTGGTAGTTTCTGTTCCAAAAGCAGGAAAAGGCATCCCTGTAACTGAAGAATTTGAAACTTTTTGTGACAAGCACACTTGAATGATACATTAGATCTGCCTTTTTCCACTTGTTTCTAACTTTCCAAATGCTTTTACTTATTCAATCTCAAAATAGCAGATCCATCAGTGAAACAGCCTTCTAGGAAGCGTAAACGGTCCATCTCTTCTGGTGCTCAAGCTCCTAAGCAATTTAGATTGGTGTTGGATGACAAAGGAGGTAAGATATGAAATAACTGTATATTTTTGTTTTTGATATTGTTTTGAGAATAAAAGCATTTTCCATCCATCTCCTTACGTCACTTTTCATTGTGTATTTACTCTTTTCTTCGAGTGGGCAGGTTGTCCTCAGAAAGTTGAATATAGTAACATTTGTTAAATACAAAAAATTCTAAACTACAGTACCACTCAGATATATGCTAACCAAAAAATGCGCAGGAAATTGTATGTAAGTGCAGATAAGTAACAGTAGGTTTGACTCAATTTTGCAAATGCATGCATAAGCTTGACTCATCTGCCTCAGTATGTCTAAGCTAGGCCTTTTGTTTTCCATTATTGATGGTTCAGTGTTTAGGGTGACGGTTTATTTAACTGAGAAAACTGTCTCCTAGAATGATGATCTCCAGAATTATGAAAGATCATACTTAGTCTAAAAGTATGTTACATTTAAAACTAATTACATTTTGTTTGACACAGATCACATTACCTTGGTGGTTAAAAGACTCCAAGCTGAATACAAAAGGAGGTCTTTGGTGAAGCCATTACCCTGGAACAATACCCTTCAACTGCAACTTGATGACACTTACACCAGATTGAAATTTCTCTCTCGAAGAAAACGTGACTTCATATTGGAAAATCTCGCCATTGACACAGATGAAATTTTTGAGTTTGACAAAGGGGAGGATAGCATGGTTTTAATTGAGGGAAGTCCAGGAATCGGGAAAACAACATTTTGTCTTTACCTTGCTAATGACTGGGCCAGAAAAAGATTTGCAGAAAACAGTCAATTGAATAGCAAATTTGAGTTAGTTCTTCTTTTGAAGTGCCGGGATTTTGAAGGAGATGTCATGGAAGCCATCTGTAATCAACTTCTTCCTGAAGATTGTGATGAGAAAATTAGGAATAATCTTGTGGATTTCCTAAAAGACTTTCACAACCAAGAAAAAGTGTTGCTAATTTTGGATGGTTTGGATGAATTGCCCACAAGGTCTAAATGCCATGTAGCTAAATTACTTCATAGACAGATTCTCCCATTTTGTTTTGTGTTGGTGACATGCCGACAAGAAAGAGGAATTTCAGCTCGAAAGGAGTTTCAATTTGAAAGTCATTTGCAAATTGAAGGGTTCACAGACAAAGCTGCCACTGACTTTGTCATAAGGTATTTTGAAAACATTTCCCCTGCAAATGGCCAGAAACTTACAGCAGAAATTAAGGAAAATTCTCTCCTTCAAGCCCTTCTAAACAACCCTTTAAATTTGCTTCTTCTGTGTGTTGTGTTTGAGGACTCTCAAGGAAAACTTCCTTCTTCCCGGACTGAACTTTATCAGATTATTGTCTGTTGTCTCTTGAGGAGATATTGTGCTAAGCACGATTTGATGTCTCATCCTGATGACAGAATACTGCAGAAGCAGTTTGAAGAGAGCACACTTGCTTTGGGAGAGCTAGCGTGGAAGTGTCTTCTCCAAGATCGCCACAGTTTCTCTGAAGAAGAGTTAGCAAGCCTTGAAAAGAGAACGGATGGTTTAGTTGCCCGTTACATCGGTCTTGTATTCAAGGAAGCAAGTGTGAAGAAGATTAATCCCAGTGATGAATATTATTTTCTTCATAAAACTTTCCAGGAGTTTTTAGCTGCATCATATCTTGCACATAGTCTGCAGAAAGGTGACATTAACATATTCAAAGACTTTGCGCTGGGGTTCCTTGACATTGTAACAAAATATCGGCAGGTGTTTCTGTTTGCAGTTGGGATACTAGAGCAAAATGATGTTTTGTTCAGACAAGTTGGAGAAGAACTTTTACAAGACTATGATGAGTGGAACTGGCTTCAGTGCTCAGAAGAAGAGGCAACATTCTTTACTGAATGCCTCAAGGAAAGTGGAAACCCAGAGGACATGGCATGTACTCTCTTTTCATTAATTCCTCTTCCACAAGATATAGAGATCATTCACAACGTTCATCATTATTCTGAAAACTTTGTGCCTATTTTGAAAGTTTGCCAAGCATTTCCACAACTAAAACAACCAATCAACCTTTTCATAGCCGATGCCAATTTTCTTGAGGATTGTGAGGTGAAGACTATTACAGATGTCCTGGAATCTTCTTGTCACCTTGAGAATCTTGATTTTTCTGCTGGTGAAATGACAAAGGCACTAGCAGATGCCTTATTTGAAGGAGTGTCCTCCAGCCCATCCTTAACACATCTTTCTCTCAATGTATCACATAGCATGGCTCCCAATCAAGCTTACACTATTGGCAAGGCATTGGCTGCAAGCAAGAATTTGAGAACAGTAGCAATGGCAATTGGCAGTGATTGGGATGAGACTTGGGCAGGTGCTCTCGAACAAGGATTAACAGCAGGAACACATTTAAATGGTGTCATCCTCACCATCCATGGAACAATGAGTCAATCAACTTTACAAGCGCTAAAACACTTGTTTACCAACAAATCTTTGACCTCTCTTTCCATTATCATAGCAGGAGATATGCATGATTCTGTAGCCTCCGCTATTTATGAAGGTCTAAGTAGAGCAAGTTGTTTGGAATCATTTCAGCTTCTTATTCTTGGAAATTTGAGTTACTCTGGTGCAATTTCCCTTGAGAAGGCTTGTTCTCAAAATCAGTCCTTGAAGACATTGGAAGTGATTGTTCGTGGAGAGGTCCCTGAGAACTGGTCCACCATTGTCCACAGATTAATGCCATCTGAGACAACATCAATGTCATGTGATTTTCAACCTAGTATCTGCCACAAAGTAACAGAGACACAGATAAATCATCTTGGTGATCACATTTTTCCAAGTGGTAGATTCTTGTCTGGACAGTCCTTAACTTTGACCCTCTGGGGTGGACTTACTTGCAGTGGAGCAAAAGCCCTTGGTAAAGTAATCAGAAGTTCTCTGATATCCAGTTTGACTCTTAATGTCCATGGCAAATTGGACAATGGTGTTTTGCACTGTCTTGCTGAATACCAGAAAGATACAAAGACACTATCTTCTCTCAAAGTCAACTTTTGTTGTTATCTCTCTGAAGAGGAAAAGTCTGTTTTTCATGATTTACCAAGCAATGGTCAAGAATTTCCTGTTGTCTTGAATTTCCTCCAAGAGGAATCTACAAGTATTTCTGAATCTGCTGACTCCTACCAGGTGAAATCAAGATCTGAAACATGCAAGGTTAATCTAGCATCCAGCAGCGCAAGTGAAGACTCAGCGCTCTTGGAAAGACTGCAGGATGGTTTGCAAACCACTGTGCCATTGGCGACACTGAGCATCAGCATAGATATTGATGCCAGCCATAGTGGAAACTCGGCTACTGGCTTGGCTACTGTCTTGGCTAGTGGCTTGGCTGAGAACACTTCAGTCACAACTTTCAATCTCACTTTAAACAACTATGATGACATGGGGGGTGATTGGGGATGTTGTCTAGGTGAAGCCATAGAAAGAAACACCTCAGTGACCACATTAAAGCTCACATTCAACAACTATGCTGATATGAGTGGTGACTGGGCCCAAGGTCTAGCTGATGGTTTAGCCAAAAACACATCAGTAACTACACACCATCTTGCAATCAATGATTTTGGCAACACAAGTGGAGAATGGGCATACACCCTTGGCGATGCTTATGCTAAAAACACAAACTTCACTTCACTTCATCTGAAGATCAACAACCATAGTTTAGACAGTGACAACTGGCTTAAAGGTTTGTGTAGTGGTTTGTCAAGAAGTAATTCCATATCCAAGCTTCATTTGTACTTGAATGGTCAAGATGTGTTTCTAAAGAATGGAAGCCTGAGAGAAAATCTTGGCAATTGGTTATCAAAAACTTCATCAAAAACATCACTTCAACTGATGATAACCTTGTTTGGAGAATGTTTAGATTTCTCAAAGGAGCAGTTCCCTGAATCAGATGTGCAGCAGCAGACAAAGGAAATCCATTAATCATGGGTTCCCCTCTCAGAACTAAACCTTCCCAGATGAGAAGACCTTGGTTAACATTTGTTCAGTTTACTGATAGAAACTGGTGATAAACACTCATCTTACTATAAGTAAGGTAAAACTCTTGGGCAGTTTCAGCTGTAAATAATGATCTAAAATGTGTATCCACAAATTGAGTTTCACAATCAGAGTTAAAGAATTTGGTTGCCCTTTTTTTTGCCCAATTCTGCTCAACCCCACCTGCAGACAGTGTTGAATGAACAAGTTTGCCACAGAAGTTTGCAGTCTAATAACATCCATTGTCAAAAGGGGGATGCAGGAATTTTTTAGGTCTCATGTTCAAATTTTCTTGAGCAAAATTTAGAAAAATGTGAAGCCAAATTGTTACTTGCTGGCCAGACACAAAAGTTGGCCTTTTTTGGTTTTTGTAGTGTAAAAAAACAAGCAGGGTAAAGGGTAACCTATGGTTATTAGTTTT